ATCGGAGGATGTATACTGTACAATAAAACTAACAATACAAAATTAGTTATTTGGCATAGGTTCTATTTTTAATTATTCACTGTAGACCTATACATATTTTCTCCTCTTTGTTACTGACGTATCCAGCTGTTGTATGACTACGTTCTTCTCATTGGCGGCTGTTTGTATTCAGCGGCCTCTTTGGCGTTCCATACATTTAGTGCCGCGGCCAAAATGATCGAACACCGGTTCCAGCCCACTTGCTGCATGCTAGGCTAGTATTTAATCAATTGTTACCTATTAAAGATACCATATTCAACAGTTTTATTTCTCATTACTGACTGTTTGTATTCAGGGGCCTCTTTGGCGTTCCATACATTTGGCACGGCGGCCGAAATGATCGAACAACGGTTCCAGCCCACTTGCTGCATGCTAGGCTAGTATTTAATCAATTGTTGTCTATTAATGATACCATATTCAACATTGTTTTCGCATAGAAAAGAGGAATGCCATAACCAAAATTGTGTTCAGTGTATTCATGATGATGGTAAAAATCGGACTCTAATATTAGGGCACATAGAAAAAATTGTTAAATTATCACTCCCACCCTCCTAAAAAATTTTGGAAATATTGATGTGGGAATAAAAAAAGAAAAAATTGTTAAATTATCACTCCCACCCTCTTAAAAAATTTTGGAAATATTGATGTGGGAATAAAAAAATAAAAAATTGTTAAATTATTACTCCCACCCTCGTAAAAAATTTTGGAAATATTGATGTGGGAATAAAAAAAGAAAAAATTGTTAAATTATCACTCCCACCCTCGTAAAAAATTTTGGAAATATTGATGTGGGAATAAAAAAAGAAAAAATTGTTTTTCCCACATCATTTATTTTAAAAGCTTAAAAAGGCAAAGGAAGTACATTTTCTTTAAAAAACAACAAAATTAACTTATATTCTTGCCAGATATAAAACCGTCCCTCCCTATCAGTAAAAAAAAATCAATATTCTATTGTTCCGATTAAAAAAAAAAGGAAAAAAAACCACCCGCCCTCATCAGTAAAAAAAAAATATTCTATTGCTCCGATTAAAAAAAAAAAAAAAAAAAAAACCGCCTGCCCATATAACTTTTTTAGCATTGTATATTATGCCGGTGTAGCACAAATTTTAGTTCCCGGCGATTTTTAGTATTTCGTGGTCCGATTATAATCAGAGCCTATGGGACACAAATTTGTAACACTTTCTTCCGGGGTAAAAATTATTAAACATGTCTATGTATTCATTAAAAAACATAAAGTAACGGAAGTTTATACAATCGAGCATGTACCTTATGTTCAACTTAACTTCACAGCTTAATTATCTAGCATAAACAATCTGTAAAAAATATGTAAAAGCTAATTTACGTTGAAAAAAGTCACTTTACAGCGAGAAACAGCGAGCATGATGGGAAGGTTAGGTGAAACTTAATTTCCTTTACAGCGACAGTAATTAGGCTAAAAATAATAAGGCGGGAATAGGTCGGGTGAAAAATAATAAGGCAGGAATTATTTGGTAATCATATTATGTCCACATAGTCAGTATAAGATGAAACTGTATTGACATTTTTTATTGTCAGTTCGTTGGTGGAGTTATTCGAAGGTTTAGGTTAATGGGAGACCTTGTATCTAGCTGCGCTCAACTGTTAGTTCGCCTACATGTTTTGTAAAGCTATTCATTGGTTTTACCTTAAATTTGGGTGTAGTATACTGTATGTTAACATACAAGCCAAGCCCTTCCTTTTTTTGGTTTTAGCTGAGTAGCCCGTACGACCGTTGTCAAGAATATTTCTTTTCACTTTTTTTGGACCATTATTTACGGCATGAGGGTGTAGCAACTTGTTCTGTTTGTGAAAAAAACAACAAAAAGTAACATTCTTTTTAAGACATCTAAATAGCTTGTCGTACCATTGATAAAAAATAAAAAAGTAGGCCTGTAAAATTAAGGGCATTTTAAAAGTGGTACACTTTTTTTTTTATAAGAACCAGTAAATTTTGCCCAGGCTCAGTGTTCTTAGTTTTTGGCCCATTTCAGGCTCAAAATGTTCTTAATTTGTTACACACTTTTCAAACATAGAAAATTATTATTGTACAGCAGAAACGGGCCCTGAAAAAAATGCCCTGGAAAAATTGCCCTAGAAAAAAGGCCTGGTAAAAATGGCAACAAATGACAGTACACCTGATTATAGGGGGTATTACATAGTCACATCTACATTACTGCACATAAAGTACAGATATAATTTTTTGGTTTTTTTAAAGCTGCAACAAAGACTGCCTTGCTGATCCGATCAAGTGCATTGACAATCAACAAAATTTCAAATAATTCAATGATATAGTCGAAGAAATTTCTTTCTTTTTGATTTCTTTTAGGTCTATTTCATTTTCAAAAAAATAGTGAAACCAAATTTCCCCGACACAAATAATAATACTAATAATAATAAAATATTATTATTGTTATTATGATTATTACAATTATTATTATTATTATTATTATTATTATTATTATTATTATTATTATTATTATTATTATTATTTATCAATATTATTATTATTATTACTTAATCCTCTTCATGCTGATAAGCACATAAGGCAGCAACAAATGTTTTCCATTGTCCTCTCTTCTGGGCCGTCCATGATATTTCATTGGTTGTTTTTGACATCTGTTTTCTTCTTCTTCCACTGTACAGCTCCATGTCCCCTTCGGCCTTCCTCTTTTTCTTTTCCCCATTGGTTTCCATCTTACTGCCTGTCTTGGATGACGGCCATTTTTCATTCTAATCACATGTCCAAACCAATTCCACCTCCTCTTCCGAATCTCCTCGTTTATGTCATTTATTTGGATTTTTTTTTTGGTTTGTTACCCAGTCTGGCCACCTGATGTTTAGGATCCTTCTCAGTTGTTATAATCTGAACCATCACCTTTTTTGGTATTTTTACAATAATTCCAGACTTCCAATCTTCTGGTACTCCTTTTTCTTCCCAAATTCTATTGAATAGCTTTCTTAATGTTATTATTATTGTCATTAATCTATTTACCTACAGTATGCCTAACTAGTCGACGCGAGTAAATCAGTTTCGTGGCTCCGAACACTGATTGGTTGAAATTGTTTATTTCGGTCCGAACGAGAAAAATAATAAAATATAAGAGACTTGTGGCTTGTCTAATTTCAGCCCTGTAGTTGGAATAAAAGGAGAGCAGCGATGGGAATTGAACCGGGGACTAAGAGATCTCCACATTTCAGCGCATATCCAGTGGCTACCACCAGATTAGCTGCCTGAGCTAAGTTGCATTAGAGCAGGGGTGGACATAAAAACCAAGAGACCTACCAAAACTTTGATGTGTTTCCAGTGTGCTTACAAAAACTTTCACGCACTGCTTTTACACCACTTTAATCTCAGTTTGCGGGCTGCAAAAAAAATCACTGTCAGGCTGCGGCCCTGTGGCCGCACTTTGCCCACCTGTGTGTTAGAGGTTCTCAATGTCAACGCATTAACTACGGAAGTAGGGTAGCAAAATCTTTAACAAAATTCATCGATTTTAACTATAATTCAGACAGCTATCGATATGAACATTGGTTCTACTCTCGTGTTGTAATATGTTAATCATTTTTGTATCTGTGTGGTCTTGTATGGTTCTCTGTGGTGTTTAGTAGGACTGGTTAGATACTATGAACTTACCTCTATGCATAGACAAAACGTTTATATGTAGGCACTTCATATCATCTTCTCTTCTTCAGTTAGTTGCCACCTTCAATATTTAAAAGTTCATGAAACTTTAAGATTAGTACAGCATGACCATAGAGTGTTTTAGTTTTGTTGCTTTCTTTGTTGAATTTATATTAAAATTTTAATACTTATTTTTCCAGCTATGTGTGAACATTTGTGATACTCCTATCAATTCTTTGTAGAAGCTTTTTTTCATATGCAGTTCAACAAGAAAATAATCAGCCAAAATTTGACATAATGACATCTATCATCAGATTAACACCATTTTCTGGTGTATTGGATGAGTCACCTTTATGTTACATGTTGCAAGTGGATGAATTTCGCTTTCTCTTGGACTGTGGTTGGGATGAGCATTTCAGTTCACAACACATGCAAAATGTTCAGAAGTTAGTTTTTTTTTTTTTTTTTTCAAGTTCTTTACCTTATTGCAAACAGTAAATGATTAACCTTGTTTGTTTCCACTATAACGTTTTACAATACAGTCGTCCTCTTTCAATCAAAAATGTCCACATACATGACTTGTTTGTTTTGAATATTTTTTTTTACTTTGCAGACATATTGGTCAGATTGATGCAGTACTACTGACCTACCCTGATAATAACCACCTAGGTTTGCTGCCTTACCTAGTTGGTAAGTGTGGTCTTGCATGCCCAATCTATGCAACCATTCCAGTCTATAAAATGGGTCAAATGTTCATGTATGATCTCTACCAGGTACTTTCTTCTATATATTGTTTCTCTTTATAGATTTAACATTCAATAACAATAATAAATGCAAACTAGATTGAAATTCGTCATCGTCAAATTTTAGGTGATACGCATGATCCTGTGGTTTTCCTCAGCGAGAAAAGTTTGAGATGTCCAAAATGGCCTAAAACGTGTTTTAAATTGGTCAAAAAGTGACTTAAAAAATTAAAATAAACGCACACGTACGCGCACTTTACGATGCGTGCGAAAACGGTAATTGTTCATGAAGTTGACCCTTGATATGAAGTATACTTTTGCCAGTGTTGTAAAACAGTCTGCCGCCCTCTGGCAGAAGTCGATTTATAATAAATCATAGAATGAAAAAAATGAGGGGGCGGGGTGAGAAAAAACATACATTTTGACAATGATGACATCAAAATGAAAAATGGAAGGCACAATTATGAAAGAAAATTGCCTCAGCTATAATATACTGAAACTTGGAAGACGATCGATCAAGGATAAGCAATATATGCTCAAATCCGTATAAAAATTATTGTCATATATTAAAAAAAATCATATCTACAACTCATGTGCTTTCAAAATATGTAATGAAAATTGGGAATTTACCTTTCATCCTAAGGAGCTATAACTGATATAAAAATAGGCATGATTTTAAGCATATTTAAATTTTGACGCACGCGTAAGCGCACCCTATGATGCTCGCACAGAAAATTAAAATACATGACATTCAACCTTGACCTGAAGTTTTTGCCCACTGAATATGATTCAGAAAATGGTGACTGGTTAGGATGATATGGGGTCATCAAAATTTTGAGAAAAAAAGGGTGAGAGGGATAAGAAAAAACATTTATTTTGACCATTATGACATTATCAAAATGTAAGAAGTGACATAAAAGAGAATTGTCTCAGCTATAACATCGAGAAGAGGAGGGCAGGCAAATAAGGAAATAAGTAAATAAATAAATAAGGAAATAGATAAGGAAATAGATAAATAAATAGATAAACAAATAGATAAATATATAGATAAATAAATAAACAGACAGACAGACAGACAAGCTGTAGCAGCGTATCACCTAATATTTAATATTTTGCAATAATGTATTGCCAACAATTTTGCACAAGCCAGTTAATGGAAAATTTAGAAATATGCACACACAGCAGTGACACACTAAAGTGTACACAACAATATGTACAAGTTCTGCCAATGAAATGATCTGCCTTTTTGATTTTTGTTCTAGTCAAGACACAATACAGAGGAGTTTGATCTTTTCACATTAGATGATGTGGATGCTGCATTTGACAAAGTCATCCAAGTGAAGTATTCCCAGAGCATTGCCCTAAAAGGTATTTTATTGGCAAAAAAATTATTTCAAGATTTTATGTCCTTCATCAGTTCTCATTATTTCAATTTAGTTCTGTCATGTATGGATATATGTCTGTCTTGTGTTTAAATAATTTCATTCGGCTTCTGATATATATTTTAGATGAATTTTCTTTGATATTAAGCCAACAGTAAAATTTTTTACCACTACAGTTTCGAACAACTTCGTTGATCTTCATCTGGCGAATGACCTAACCTCAGTTAGATCATTTCGTCATCGGCCGATGAAGTGCGCCCTCTTTTGGGTTTTTGAGATCTCCGCGAGGCCCCCTGTTGACCTCAACATACTAGGCTGGCCGAACATAAAGCAGACGTTACGAATAGTATAGAAGGGGCAGCTCGCACCTCAACGTCATCTGTAATCCATAAATCAGCTATAACAGACCACATGGTCAGACATAACCACATACCAAACTGGAACACTACCAAAAAACTTCAATGCACCAACAAAGAAGCAAAATATATCTGAAGGAAAAGTAACAACATGAATAGAGATGAAGGAGCCTATGAGCTGTCACATATTTACGACGACCTTCTACACCAACCCGGGGAACAGGAGGCCCTGCGGAGAAGACCTCAAAAACCAAAAGAGGGCGTACGTCATCGGATGATATCAGAAATTATCTTACTGAGGTTAGGTCATTCACCTGATAAAGATCAATAAATTTTTTTGAAACTGTAGTGGTAAGAAATTTTACTGTTGGCTTTGTATCAAAGAGAATTCATCTAAAATGTCTGTCTTGTGTTAAAAGGGATTGTTGTGTATGCTCAACTCAAGAAAGTCATATCAGGCCCGTAACTAGGATTTTTTTTGGGGAGGTTTCAAATTTGGAAAAAGTGGAGCCTTTTGAAGATGTTATCGACCGACCAATTGCGCTGACCACATAAGTAAGAGTTCCATCTTGAAACTTGTATTAAAAGTTACTACTGTCTATAAAGATTATTTGAACAGGATTGAAGCAATCTTCTTTCGAGATTTTTTTTTTTGCCATCCAAGCGGAGCCATCTAGCAAACGGCAGGGTTCGTCCGAACCCCCCCTGGTTACGGGCCTGCATATGTTTGCTATATCATATACAACTTGTAACATATATGCTAAATATATTTTATATTATTAATAAATTATTTTATATTAAATTAATATACTATCAGGTAAAGGTCATGGTTTGGTGATAACAGCATTGCCTGCTGGTCACATGGTCGGAGGAACGATTTGGAAAATTGTGAAAGATGGAGAAGAAGAGATTATATACGCTGTTGATTACAACCACAAGAAAGAAAGGCACTTGAACGGATGTGTATTAGAGACAATAAGTAGGCCGTCACTACTTATTACGGATGCCTACAATGCCATGTATCAGCAGACAAAGAGAAGACAAAGAGACGAACAGTTAATGAGTATGTATTGAAATATTAATAATGTTACAGTCCTCACTTCCTGGATTCTGTCTCAGACTAAAGAAAACAGCTTCCCTTAGTTTAGTTTAGTTTAGTTTAGATTTATTCAGTTCATTCAGATTTTAAAATTAATGTTCATAAGAACACGACAAAAAATCATACATCAAAAGAAATGAAAATATTATTTGAATGAACCAAGGAATAACCCAAGAAATTTAAAAAATAAACTTAATTCCATTGTGGTCCTTAATATCAAAAGCATTGGAAATTGCACGAAAGGTTCATAATAAAAATGCAAAAACGAGAATTACAATTTAAAACCACAAAAAAAAGGATAACAATTTAAACATTCAAATAAACTTAGAAACAAATGAGAGAAATTGGAAAAGCAATGATTGATCAATTTGATCGC